CACCTTGTTTACTTGATGTTGTAACAAATGAAAGCCATTTTTCTTTTTGTTGAAGAATATCATGAATAGTGGATTCACCAACAGAATATTCTAATGCTAATTCTTTGTTAGAAGGAGCAGGAATAGATTGTTTTTTAATGCAAATATCATATTTTTGATTTGCAGTAAGAATTTTTTTAGATCTTTTGTTAATTTGTAACATAGTGAATCCAAATTGTAAAACAAAAAAATTATGTTCGCTTTATATAAACAATATAATATACAAATCCTGTTTATTTAATAATACTTAATAAGGTAAAAGATTAGATAAGTAATATAAATAGTTAAATATTTTTAAACATTTTTAGATTAATTATACTAATTATAGCGTTAGAAATATTGTTAGGTTATACATATTGTTGTGTAAATCATTGTTCTTTATAAGTGCAAATTTTAAATTTAAGGATAAACCTGAAATTTACATCTAGGGTCAAATTGTTTTTCTTATATAATTATTCCGGGTCAAGTAAAAACCTTATTTATCTTTTATTATCAATGTCAATATTTTTGATCCAAATGTAAAAATAAAGATATACTGATTGGATTTTATTTATAAGTAATTAAATATACAGTATTAATTGTACAGTTATTTTTATTTATCAATATGCATTTTTTTTATTTGAAAAAGTGAAAAAAAAATTTATTAAAATATTATATTTATTATATAGTAGAAACTAGCAATATATAATCATTATCCTTCTTTATTTAACTTTTTTACACATAATAATAAATATATTTGCCTATACTATTAGCAAATAAATAATATTCTTAATATCTTATAAATATTATAAGATTCATATGGCAGCTTGCACTTGCACTTTGATTAGATATTACATGTGCATATTGTATAGAAATTAGCAATTCGAGATCAATTATAGCTTTAGAATCATTGCCGTTATTAAAAAAAAGTGGTCATGACAGAAGCAGAAATTGGACTATGCATTGTCACAGGTTTATTATCTATTTTCATTACATTTCAACCATATCTTTCCAAGCAATAGCTTTAGAATACACTTGGAATTGCAGATGGTGTTGAGGAAATGATAAATGTGCAAGGTGAGAGTGGGTTTATATATAGTAGCTGAGATGCATTCTGAAATATAGTGGTCATGTAAGTTGGCTGTTCCACAGGTATAGGGTGTAATTGTTGAAGTAAAGGAAAAATCACATTTGTTGATGATTGTATAGGTATCTGAATGTGAAAAATTAGAGACTTTTTTAATTTTATAGTTGGATAAGAAATTGGAACTATTCTGTCATCACTATTATTCGCAAGTTCCTGATGGTGTATGGACAATGGAGATAGTTTCAGCGTCTCTAAAACCTGATTGATTTCCTCTTCACGGCCTTATTTCCCCAAAGCATTTTTTGAATGCCCATTAATTCTATTTACATGACTTTTTAAGTAAGAGAGCTTTTCAACTATCCCACTTTTGTTCGCTTTTTTTTTTTGTACTTCGAAAAAAAGTTTATAACATGTTTATTCATCTATGACACCAACAAAATTACTTTCTTTGCAAAATTAGTACATTTTTGCATGTGTATTTTACCTTGAGAAGAAAATTCCGGATTGCATATATATTTATAAAATGCATAGTAACTGCTTGTGAAAGGCAATTAAAGACAGTACTGTATGCAAAAAGAATCTCATTGTCTATTTTTATGCAACTTGAAAGCTTAGTGATATTAATAGCTGTCTTTCCATATATGTTACAAGAATCTATATTCATTTATTGATTGTAATCTATGTATGGTCTATGAAGAAATATAGCTACAGCATAATAAATTTAATTTATATAAGCAGTGTAAAACTTAAATAGTGATGCTATAATATAGTAGTTATTTCTAGCTAAAAAAAGACTATCGTGTGATGAGGAGCTTTATATAAAAAAAATGATACTGTACCTATGTTAGAAAATGCTATCTATTTATATACAGTATATATAATCTGAATATTCTTTTTTCATATCAGATTAATAACCATATTTATTATATTATACCCAGATTCATAACTGGATATACTACGTCATAGTTGAATATAAATCTGTTTTAAATAAAAAAAATCTGAATTTCAAGATCTTTATTAAAAAAGAATAAATTATTCTTTTATCTGAATTTTATAAATTGGATCCAAGCTCTAGATTAAAGAACTTGTCATAATGGGGTCAGGAAAAACCATCCTGACTTTAACACAAGTACATTAATATATTTATATCCTGAATCTAATTTGATCCAATTTTTGTGAAATACCAATAGATTATTAGTAAAATAAATTTTGATCATTCAAATATTCGATGTAATAGTAAAAAATTTTGAAATTTTAATGGATAATCTATTTGAAATTATGTGTAACATAAAAAACCAAAGACTTCGGATGATCAAATTTTTAGTGTATTGTTACACTTGATCTTTGCCCAAGATCATCACTACCCCTTGTCCGATTTTTACTAGTATTTACCCTTGAAATGTTACCCATTCTAGAATAATTCTTGTATTACTATTCTTGTTATTGTTTAG